TATCAAATCTATAGCAGTATACCAGTCATATAATGTATTATAGGAAAAAATTAATTTATAACTACTTATCATTAAGAAATATATATTATCCATGAATTCTTTTTATATATTTTTGCACGTATACCTAATTTATATCGCTAGGTTGTTAATAAAAATAAAATTATATTTTCTCCATATTACCTATCAGAGTAAATGTTTATGAAACAAAATATGTTTATGGTATATGCTTCATCGTGTCGGCAAAAAAGGACACATACATTAGAATTTTTATTCCTTTTACTTATATAAAAAAATAAACATTATTATTTATATAGTGATAATGGTATACTTTCATAGATTATTTATTAAGGTAGATGTACCCCAGAATAATTGTACACATAGTTAATATATCACAGAGATAAATTATAATAATATAGTATATTCCATATTTATCTTTTAAAAAAATGATTTCTTTAAAAGATTATTTAACCCTCTACTAAATCTCAAAACAATATTAAATGATTTATTAAATAAATGTTTAAGGTATACATATAAACAATGATATTATTGTAAAAATATATATAAATTGTATAAAACATAATAATTACGATAAAACAAATAACATACTAATTAATTTTTATAAATAATCATATATGCAAAATAATGTTATTTTTTTGAATAAATAGAATAAAAAATTAAAAAATCAAGTAGATTTTAGAATATTAATTGTTAAATGGCTCTAGAAATAGATGAAATAATAATATATACAATTATAAAAGGAGAAATATAGATTTTGTAAAATAATACAGAACAAAACTTCTATATATAAAATAATATATTTGTACTACAAAGCAAGTTTAACATACCATATCTCAAAAATAGTTTTCCAATAATAAAAAAAAAAATAAAGCAAGGTATATAAATAGAAAAGGATATTTTCTATTCTATATAAAATAAATTATTATTAAGTTTATTCTCCTTATAATTAACATAAATAATATAAAATATATAAATATTCATAAGTATACAAAGCATATCTGTATACATACGGTTATATTAAAAATTTAAAAAACAATATATACATATTATTAAGTGTAATCCAAATATATGAAACTGATATTATAATTCCAACATTAAGTCTTAAAACAAAAAATCTTAATCATATATAACATATCCTAAGGATAAACATAAAATCATAAAGGTATATATAAAATCCCTCTAAGTCTCTATATATCAAACAAATAATTCAAATCCATGAACACTAAACATTTTTATCTATAATTATGCATTTGAAATTTTGAGCGTAATGTATCATACAAATATTTAGAACAACAATGAATTATATATATAAATGTATTATATATAAATTAAAATCATTGATGTATTTAAAATATTAAATTATATTTATTATATTACAATGACATTGTTAATAACTCTATAAACAATTAAAATGTGGCTTCAATTATAAGATATATTTATGAACAAAAATAATTTATCCGAAATTCATTATGACTCTTCTTAACCTTAAGGATAAATTTCACGGAAATCTTTTAAAAAATATTAAAAGCATAACGCACATATATATAATGTCTTAACATACAACTATATATATATTAAGTACCAAAACTGGTCATATTGATGGATATTTAGTTTCTTATTTACTAAAAAGTATTAACCAATTTCTCTAGATATATTCAGAAGTTTTGATACGTTAAGATCTATAATTTAGTATGTAAATATATTTAGAGCATATGTTTTTTTCATACTATTATATTTAATTTATATGTATTAGGATATATTTTAATAACATATATATAATAAAATTTAATATTTCTAATTAGGCATTCACCTTACCCTTATTACTATTAAATCTAATAATAAAAATAGATAAGAAAACCAATGCAGAATTTTAGTAGGAATAAATATATATTAATATTTTAAAGAAAAATATAATATAAATAAACGAATAAAAAAAGTATTCACTAGATTATTGTACTAGATATAATGGCAATATAGGAAAATATAATTTTATTATAAATGAAATATGTATATTTATAAGTTAGAAAATGTATCTTTTTATAAAAAATTTACAGCATAAATAAATAGCATTATTATTTTCATCTTTTAATATATATTATATTTATCCTATATTAATACACACATATATTAATATGTTATTCTATTCTATTTCCATCCAAAACACTTTGTATTCAATAATATGTAACAAATGTACGTGTAAATTAGGTTATATGTTGGGTTACATGTAACTCAGAAAACTACATATAATATATATATATTAATTTGAAACACATAACTTATTTTACACAATAATATAATAATCATGAAACATTATCAATTCAATTATACTAGTATACTAGCGATGATTTTATATAATATTTAAAAATGAAATTATAGTCTAATATTTTATTATTATAGAATAAGGGACTTTTATTTAATAATATCTAAATGAAAAATTAATGTCCATATAACATATATAATAAATAGTATAGCACTTGTGTGATAATATACTAAAAAATATGATAACTATTATTATATATAAATCTAATAAAATCTATTATTTCTTGATTTTTGAGCTTTATGTATTTATTAAATTGTATATTTATAAGTTTTTTAAATATGCATAATATGTAAAATATTTTTTTAAGAATATTATTCACAGAAAAATTAGGTAAAATTTACGTTAAATTATTATTTCTTTTTCTACAAAATATTTAATTTGTGTAATAATAATATAAGCCATTTGGGTTTTTTAATAAATATTTAAAGCAAAATAATAAAAATATCATTATGCAATTAATATTGTGTGAATTATATGCTAAAATATGTGTAAAAACATTAATACCTATATAATATTAATTTTTTATCTTCTTATATAGAGTAATAACTATGGTTTCATATACTATATTTCACGAAAAAATTTTTTTTTGGAATATCAGGCAAGAATAATTTGAGTTTAATAAAATGAAGAAAAAATTAAAATAAAAAATATAACAATATATTGTGAAATAATTTTACTTCGAATAATTACATTTAAAAAATAAATAAATAAACTATGTCGAACCTCTAGGAGATCTTGATTATAAGTAAATTATTTTATTAAAACATTGTATTATATAGTACAAAAAATATAAAACCATTATAAAATACATATCGTTATGATGTATATATATAAAGTTATATGATTTAATTATTTTTCCTATTCATACACAATGAAACTTTTACATGAAAATGATATTATATAATATAAAATATGAAATCACATTTATACGTAAGTATATGTATACTCAAGTTAAATAATTATTTACAATGCACCATATACTCATATTAATGTATATATAGATCATAAACAGTTATGAAATAGTATTTACTTTATTTTTATATAATTCATATAAATTAATATATATTATATTCTTGCATTCCTATAATATATTATAAAAATGTAATCAAAATCCTAATTCCCAATTAATATTTTTTAAAATAAATATATTTATAACAAAAATAAGCAAATAAAATATATTCAGAAGGATGACTTATTAATCCTATGTTTTGAACTAAAGTATTTTTTAGATACATGAATGCACATATATACACATTGTAATTAAAGACATAAAATAAAGAATTTTTAATAAAAATATTTACTATATTACATATAAATTTTAATTTATTATACAAATTGAAAATATTATAAAATTGGTGTTATATATATATTCTTATTACTAATATAATTTTTATTTTGATTTTTTTATATATATCGAACTATATGTATTTATTTTTCATATTATTTTATATTTTTTAAAAAATATTCCTTGGTCTAGATCGAATAATACTAAGAGGGTATTAAAAATGTGAATAATTTAATAAAAGTATAAAATTAGTCAAAAATATATAGAATTAAAAAACACAATATTCGTTATTACATGTAATATGAATATGATATTTATTTTTGTATTCTTTAAGAACAAAAATTTATTATAAAAAATGTAGAACTGATTTTTTTATTGTACAACATATATATAATATAATGACGGGAACTATATTAAAAAATGAAGAAGTATGATTAATGTTTATTGGAATTAATATATGTAAACATAATTTAAAAATATCTTATTCAATTATAAGTTACCCCCTTTTTTTTCATAAAATTTATATGATTTTTGCATATATTATGACATATATTTTTAGTTCGATATTAAGGGTATATTTCCCACATGTAGTAAAAATTTCTCATGGAATAAAGAAGCAACTAGGCGTGAAAGTGACGCTGATAATTTCACAATTTTATGTAGTGATTTTTATAATCAAGTATCTCATGGTCATGATACTACACAATTTTCGAAATTATGTCGTGTTCTAGGCTTATATTTAAATCATATAAAAAGTAGACAAAATGAAATTCATGTAAAATCATGTTGTGAATTATTCTATTATAAACTAAAAAAAGACATAATGCATAATTTAAATTTTACTGATGCTAATATATGCTATAAGAGCATGATGAAAAAAGATGATAAGCGTAAATTTTCAACAAGTATATCTAATATATGTGTGAACTATTCTGCAAATATTGATGAAGATACATCTAAATTATTGGAACATCTGTTTAAAATATATTACTACATTGATCTCTTTAAAAATCCTGTTCAAGGCACCACTACAGAAATGCGCAAATTCAAACAGGAAATTATTGATTTAGAAAATTATAGCTGTAATAATAAAATCCGACTTAAGGAAGAACTCGAAAACATTATTAATGTATGTGAAGGCTATATAAAAGGTTGGAAACATCATCAAACTGCAAAGCATGCCGCATCTCTCCTAACTGAAAATAATTGGATAGACCTTAGAAAAATAAAACTCACGGAACTGGGCGATGAAATTTTGAAGAAGCATAGGACAAAAGATTTAAGAACTACAGAAATGATGCAACAAAAAACATTATATTCTCAATCCTTAATGATCACTGTGACAGATGATGTAACAAACACAAGAATCAGTATTGGAACAGTTTTTTTAACTTTTTCAATATTAATAATTATTTTTATTTTGTATAAGGTTAAAAACAAAATCAATATAAAATATTTATGTTGTACTATAATTATATCTTAGAAATATTATAATAAATATATATAATATAAATAAACAATTAATAAAAATATTATATATATTTTTTTTTCAGTATACCCCTTATTTTTCACTCTTAAAACCAAGCGTACTGAAATTAAGAAGAAACTTGAAAAAAAATTACAAAAATAATCCGGATCTTATGTTTTCATTTGATGATGAATACAAAAATTCAGTAGATGATAGCTATAAAATAGCATATAGTTAAATTATCAAAAACCAATAAATAAGTAAATATTAGTTACTAGATCCAATTTATTTTACTTAAATAAAAGAAATATACCATTTTAATTCTTTTAAAAAATATGTTCAATTATGTATATACGAGATTAAAATGAATAAATAATAAAGAATGTTAATGATACTTAGTAAAATGCTCAATATATAAAAATTCAATTTATAATTATTACTACATATGGAATAATAACTACTTTACTACACAAATAGAGCATAAATTAATTACATATATACAATTTCTTTATTTACTTAAATTATAGTACATTATAATAATTGATTTCGAGATATAAGCATTGTGTGTTCAGCTAAAAATATTTCTCACAGAACAAAATATTAGCTCTTATATGAAAATTATACTATAATATTCTAATATAATTTATTTCATTGTAAATGTATATATATAATAAATTAGTTGTTTGAAATAAGATTGAAAACATAATGAGTGTTTAACATTCTTTTTCGCTAAATTTAATGTGTGTTACTATTGCAAGTATTATATTGACATAAATATTTTTTTCCAATTCATATAATATAAACGAAAAAAAAGAAAAAAGAAAGAATGTTAAGAATATCATTAACACATTAATGTTTTGCAAAATATATGTACTTCCTAACAATGTAAATGTATAATAAGTAGCATATAACTAGTCCATGTAAACATGTGAAATTATTACAAATTAAAATAGATATGCATAATTTTAATGGAGTCCAAAATAAAAAATAGTATTCATAATTGTAAAATATTAAAATTATAAAAAAATTTTATTAATTCCCTACATCAGCTACATATATATTTATACTGTTGATAATCATTAAATATTATCTTTTAATTAAAATATATCTCTCCAAGGCCTTTTAGCAAAAAAATTGAAGAAATTTTAGTATATTAATGTGATATATTAATTTAAATTTCTTAGAAATCGTTTTCCTATATATATACATATATTATTATATTTGAATAATTTTTTCTTATTATGTTATAGTTTATTATTATATTATAGTAAATTTAATGAAATTAAGTTAAAACTACTTATTATCTATAAAGGTAATATGTAAAATTGTATATTTTTCCTAATATATATATTCTTTTCTAGTAGTAATACACAACTATATATAAAACGACACATATTATATAGATTATTGCATGATACCACTTATTTCTTTTTAAATATCTCTAAGGAAAGTGAGCATAGAATACATTATATATATTTCACAATGTTAAAAAATAATTTTAAATATTTGAATTATTATATAATGTAAATATATATGTGTTCTAACAATATTATCATTAATTAATTTAATAATCTATTTTAAATATCTAATAATTAACATCATTTATTATAGCCTATCAAATATTTCATACATATATTTTTTGACAAATTACATGACTATGCTTTTATCGCTAAATTTTATAATAATAATAAATAATGATCAGAATTATGATAATTAATGGATGGATAAAATTTATCTAGTTTTATTTTTAATGTTTTAATGTTACTATTTTTAATATAATGTGTAATAAATAGAAGAACCTCAATACATTATCATTGTGACAACAATCATATATTATGATTTATTCAAATTAATATTACGAAAATAGAGATATTACATTTATATATATGACCAATTTATACTCAAAGACATTATTTAATTTATTTCTCTATTCTTAATTTTTTATTTTGTTTATATATTTAATGTAATACTTAATCCTTTATTTTACCTATGTATAATTAAAAATTTTTGCATTTTACAAATTGTACATTATGAGTACTATTATTATATTAAATCTGAGTTCACTTTATTTCATATGTGTATTCATAATGTATCATGTCTGTAGGTTTATATATATATATTTAATATAATGCAGGTATTATAATTACAGCATATTATATTGTAAATATTTCAAATTTTATATTCTATATATTCACTCTATATTGTAAAAACACTAGGCTATTCTTATAATACCACTGTTGTTATGTTCAAATTATTTTGTAAGTATAATTATTTTATGTTCATACAAAATGAGTCAAATTTATTTTTTTTAACAAACAAAATTAATTAATTTACTATTATTACATTATTAGTAGTATTCTACTGAGCTATATATAATTCCGCACCTTTTTTTAATTATTGTATCTATATTCAAAAGAATACACTAAATTGACACTATCTTTATACGATTTTTTGAGCAATATCCTCAAATTTCTTACCTTTAGTTGAAATAATTAACCAAATGTTGCATAATAAAAATAAAATGAAATGTGATATCCTTATGTACATGTGATTTATTATATATAGGTAATTCCTATTTATATGTAACATTAATTTAATAAAAAAATAAAAATAATGAATTAAATTTAATTTTAAGTTTATATAAAATGAATCCAATTATTAATATTGTAAAAGCTAAAATAATAAAAATATATACGCATATATTTAACTATAATTGAACTTATCCATGGTACATCTCTATGTCTAAAGGTGTGCTACTCTATCTTCTTATAGCACTGCTTATTTCCATAAATGGGGTTATTAAGATTATCTCTTATTCAAGTTATATTTATTATTCCTCATCTGTTCTAACATTTCTTCATGATTTTAATTTTTCTATTAATTTATATTAAAAGAGTTGATACAAACACCAAAATTAATATTGTAATAAGTACACATTAAGAAGAAATTTTGTCTAAACATTTTCAAATATAAAATTCGTATTACAATTAGGTACATTTTCTTAATTAAATAATAGTTTATTATATTTTTATGTTAAATAGTAATTCTAAGAGTGTAAACTATGTTTGAAATGTTTTTATTCATCACAACTTAATAAATATTTATACAATACTAAATAAATTACAATCACATTGTTCTCTATTATTATCATTGATAAAATTTCTAACATTATATATCAATGGATTCTTATTTATTAAGTTATTCATATCTAAAATTGTTTGCAGTTTTATGAAATATACTTAATTACAGCTAAATAAAAAAATTTCCAGAATTTGTTATATATATGTCAATTATTGAAAAAATTACCATGCATAAAAATCTTATGAGCATCCATATATTTTGTTTGAATATTATTTATGAAATCAATTATTTTAATATTTATTCAATCGCAAAATAAATAATTTATATTTATTTTGATAAGAATTTGCAAAATATGTTTTAAGTGTCTTTTTTTTTATATTTTTCTTTTTTCTAGGTGTTAATTCCTAATATTAATATAGGATCTTCCATTAGTTATGTAAAAGCCTATACATATACGTTCTTTGAACTGTTCATAAAAAAATAAAAATATTATAGCTAATAATTATAATGGTTAATTTAATTTTCATTTATTATTTACATTTATTATATCATAAGAGGAATAAAAATATAAAAAATAATCACATAAATGTTCTACATATTTAGAACTACTATATTAAAAATATTGTTTGAAATACTTCTAATTTAATCATTTTACTATAGATCCTATTATTCATTTCACCTTATGAAGTTTTTTCTTATAAAGGAAAACATATCAGTTCCAGATGTTTATTATTCTTTTTAATAATAATATTAACATTGTTATACATGATAGACGGTGTCAGCATATATTCAATAATAATTAAAATTTATATATATAAATCATTGAAATAATTTATTGAATAAATTGTTATTATAATATATATTAAAAATATATATAATAGTAAAAACCTTCATGATTTAATTCCTTTTATTTATCCACATTAACATAAATGTAACATGTTCGATACATCTTTATAATAACAATATGTATAAAAATTTACAACACACATTTTTCCTTTTCATTATATATTATTATACAAATACATTATCTCTATATATTATGTACAGAAATGAATATATATTAAAATCTATGCTACGTATTCTTGGAATAAGAAATATAACAGAATAAAAATAAATTATTACCTAACAAAATATAACTTTATTGTCTGGTTATTA